CTCTCGCGCTGGGGGAACAGATGGGTGGACGCCTCGGAGACAAGCGCACACAATCACACACACACTTTTTTGGTCGGCGGGTCGGGAGCGGGCCCCTTCCGGTCAAGAGCTAGGCGGGGCGCGCGAAGCCCTAATTGGGGAGACAGGGCGCGGGCAGGCGGGGCCTCAGGCGGCCGGAGGGTGCAGAGTACAGGCGGTGCCGAAGATCTTGCACAGGACACACACACACACACCCTTTTGGCGATCGCCGCCTCGCGCGCGGCCACGACGCGGAGCAAATCGAGCAAGCAGCACGGAACGACCGCGCGCGGCGGGGTACTCAGACGCGGGAGCCCGTTGGATCAACCGCCCATGGGCCACCCCGGCGTGGGTGGCGAGTGAGAAAATTACAGCATCGCCCTCACACGGAGACGAGCAGTGCAGCGACGCGGCCGACCGACAGCGACGGAAAGCGAGAAATTGGACCGCAGATACACAAAGACAAACACACGAAAACACACGCACGCGGCGCCGCCGACCGGCGGCGACGGAAAACACAAAAAACAAAAATGGGCCCCGGACACACGAACACAACCACAAGGAAACACACACACACACACTAACACACACGCACACGCACGCACGCACGCACACACGCGCACGCGCACACGCACACGCACACACACACACACACACGCACGCACACACACTAACACTAACACTAACACTAACACTAACACTAACACTAACACTAACACTAACACTAACACTAACACTAACACTAACACTAATACTAACACTAACATTAACACTAACACTAACACTAACACTAACACTAACACTAACACTAACACTAACACTAACACTAACACTAACACTAACACACACACACACACACACACACACACGCTAACACACGCGCGCAGCTCCTGGACACCGTCGCCTGCCTCGAGGGGGCCGCGCGCACGCGCGCGCGCCGACTTTTTTTCCCGCTCCGCGCGCCCCGAGACTGGGCGGGCCGAGCGCCGGGAGCGCCCTCGGCGCTGGGGCGCCGCGCGCGCCGAGGCCGCCAAAAAACAGCTTGCATGGCATTCGCGGCGGGTTCGCGCCGTGGAGGGGCGGGGCTTCTGCGGAGGAGGGGCAGAGGAGGGGGCGACGCGCGAGGAGGGGCGATGGGGTGGGCGAGGGGCGAGGAGGGTGCCTGCGGAGGGGCGGAGCGGAGGGGGCGAGGACGAGGGTGGTAGTGCGTGCGGGGGGAGAGAGAAAGAGAGAGAGAGAGAGAGGGAGAGAGACATAGAGACAGAAGGGGATAGAGAGAGGGAAAGAGAGAGAGAGAGAGAGAGCGATATCTGTGTATAAATATCGGAGGTTGGAGGGTGAGTCCGACGTGAAACGGAGACCCCCCTACCGGGAAATCGACTTCGGTTTCGGGTTCGTGTCGTGCGTGCCGTGCGTGCGTGCGGGCGAGGCGAAGCTGCGTGGGCGGGCGAGAGGAAATCCTCCTGTGGATGGGCCGCGGCCGGACCAAATGTTTCTCCTCCGGCGGCTGGTGCCGCCAGTGTCCCGCCGGTGTCCCGCTGGTGTCCCGTTGAGTGAGATCTATAGTGAGATCGATACTGAGATCGATACTGAGATCGCTGTGGTGCCCCGAGGTGTCACGTGGTGTCCGTTGAGTCAGATCGATAGTGAGATCGATAGTGAAATCGACAGGTGTCCCGTTATGTCCCGTGGTGTCCCGTTGAGTGAGATCTATAGTGAGTTCGATACTGAGATCGATGTGGTGCCCCGAGGTGTCACGTGGTGTCCCGTGGTGTCCCGCTGAGTGAGATCGATACTGAGATCGATAGTGAGATCGATAGGTGTCCCGAGGTGTCCCGTGGTGTCCCGTTGAGTGAGATCGATAGTGAGATCGATAGTGAGATCGATAGTAAGATCGATGTGGTGTCCCGAGGTGTCCCGTGGTGTCCTATGGTGTCCGGCTGAGTGAGATCGATAGTGAGATCGATAATGAGACCGATAAAGAGATCGAGAGGTGTCCGGCGGTGTCCCGTGGTGTCCCGTGGTGTCCCGTTGAGTGAGATCGGCAGTGAGATCGACAAGTGTCCCGTGGTGTCCCGTGTTGTCCCGTGGGGTCCCGTGGTGTGAGATCGATAGTAAGATCGATTGAGTCAGATGATGGTTCCCCCCTCCCCCCACACAACCTCCTTATCACCCGAAGGGTGGTCGTATAGGTGTGTATATATATATACACATGTATACAAAGAGAGAGAGAGAGAGAGAAAGAGAGAGAGAGAGAGAGCGCGCGCGCAACAAAAGAAAGAGGGAGGGTACGGAGAGGAAGGAGGGGGCGGAAGGAGGAATAGGCATGGAGGAGCGGGAGGGGAGGGGAGGAAATGGGACCAGCTGGAGGACGGCCAGGGGGGACGGGAAGGGCCAGGCACGTGCTTCGCATCGCCCGCTCCTGGTCGCGCGCCTCGCCCCTCCGTGGGCTCCCTTCGCCGAGGTCCGCTCCACCGTCGCTTCGCTCTGCACGGCCCGCTCTGCCCGGCCTCCTCTCGCCGGGGGCCCCCGTACAGTCGGACTTGATTGGGGAGGACACGCGAGACGACACAAGACCCTTCCAAGGGCCACGTTGCCACAAAACTGCAGGAGGCCTGGGTCGCAAGACACAGGACACGAGGGCACCCTCGATTTGGCAGGGTCGACCTAATAATCCCGGCCGACTGTCTGCGGGCACGCGTGGCGCACCTCGCCCAAGCGTCGCGCACCTAGGGTCGGCTTTGGTTCGCAGCAGCTGCCCGTGCAAAGACGGCCGCTGAACATGCTCAGGCTCAGATGTTACTTATGTGTTGGGAGGGCGGGTAGAAATGAGCTAGACGGCTTGCGGGCGGGCGGGTAGATTGATCCCTGTTTCTTGTTCGTATCCACCACTCCCCCAGGCGACCGGCGTCTAACCAGGAACCATGAGGACACCATGACGACCCGCCCCCCACCATCGATTTCAAAAAACAAAACAAACCGCACTCTGCCCCCACATTTGGAGCATGCGCGGCCAACCCGATGCGGCCCCCCCACCACCCGTGTCAAAAAAACAGTGCAAAGTACACGTTGGGGCAAAATCTCTAGTCATGCTCGTGAGGCCCACGAGCACTGCGTATGGGTTTTGACAAGTACGGCGGGGGTGCCAGCACATCCCCTGCCGTGCGCAAGGGTACCATCCCTGACGCCAAAAAAATTAACAATACAACATGCACCTCGCGGCTAAATCTGGATCATGCGCGGCCATCCTGGGATCACTGCCAAATGGTTTTTGACAGGGACCGCGGGGGTGGTGGCGCGTGGTCTGCTGTGCGCAGGCCTACCAGACACAATGATGAGGATTGGCATTCGACGAGGATGGCGGGGGCAGACATGTTTCCCGATGTGTGCTGTCACGTGCGCAGGCGCACCTGACGCACTCTGCACATGCCCTGAAAAGGGCGCACCTGGCGCGGCTGGAATGTGCGGCAAACCTGCCGCACTCGGAGAACGTGGCGCATCCGGCGCACCAGGCGTACCTGCCACGCTCAGGCCACAGGGGTGCCTGGCGCGCGTGGCGCCCCTGGCACGCGTGGCGAACCTCGCGAAAACGTCGCGCACCTAGGGTCGGCTTTGGTTCCCAGTAGCTGTCCATCCAAAGACGGCCGCTGAACATGCTCAGGCTCGGATGTTACTTATGTGTTGGGAAAGTGGGCGGGACTGAGCTAGACGGCTTTCAGGCGGGTGGGTGGCTTGACCCCTCCCGCTACCCCCTCCGCGACGAAACGACATCACAACCGGCCGGGTAAGACCACAATCGGACGGGTGAGATCCCAATCGTCCAAAGCCCCAGGCACGGTCAGATCCCAACCGAGTAGGAAGCGAATAAGGAAACCACATCAAAACATAAGCACTAGTTGTCCGAGTAACAGTCGGAGTAGTCAGTCGTAGTAGTACGAGTAGCAACTGTACTCGTAATAGTAGTCAGAGTTGAGAAAATCGTTGTAGTAGTAGTAGTCGTCGACATCGTAGTAGTGGTAGTAAGGGTACTACTCGTAGTAGTCGCAGTATTAGTATTAGTATCAGTCTCAGCAATAATACTAGTGATCGCAGAAATACTAGCAATACTGGTAGCATCCGCTGTAGTCGTAGTATCCGTACTACTCGTAGCAGTAGAATGCGCATTCGCATTCGTATTCGTCTTAGCAGTCGTATGATTAGAAGTAGTAGTCTTCGTAATATTCGTAGCAGTCGTAACAGTCGTAGTGCAAATAGCGCCCGTAGTAGTAGTAGTAGTAGTAGTAGTAGTAGTAGTAGTAGTAGTAGTAGTAGTAGTAGTAGTGGTAGTACTGTCGTAGTAGTAGTAGTAGTAGTAGTAGTAGTAGCAGTAGCCGTAGTAGTAGCAGCAGTAGTAGCAGTAGTAGTAGTCGTCGTACTAGTAGTAATAGTAGTAGCAGCAGGAGTAGTAGAAGTAGCACTAGCAGTCGTATTAGTAGTCGTAGTAGTAGTAGTAGTAGTAGTAGTAGTAGCAGTAGTAGTAGTAGTAGTAGCAGCAGTAGTAGTAATAGCAGCACTCATGGAAGCAGTAGTCGTCGTAGTGGGTGGTAGAAGTAGTAGTCGTCCCACTCGCAGTCGTAGTAGTCGCAGTAGTAGTAGAAGTATTAGAAGTAGTAGTAATATTAGTAGTGGTCGTAGTAGTAGAAATAACAATAGTTGTAGTAGTAGAAGTAGTTGTGGTAGCACTACTCGCAGTGATAAGGATGCCTAAGGATTGACCAGGGGTCTCTAAGGACACCGTGGGATGATCCCGCATGTCTAAAAGGATTCCGATGGAACCACCAAGATCCTGGAGGATTCTTGACGACCCCATCAAGATCCCTAACTATTCTCAGAGAGGCCGCCTGGATTCCCAGGGATCCAGGGATCCCTTAGGATTCCGATAGACCCGAGGGAACCCTCAAGATTCCTCGGGATCCCTCAAGATGCCTAGATTTCCCGATGGGTTCCCTCACGGATTCCTATGGGGGGGGCGCTAAAGACTCATCCGGATTCCCTCCTATGGGTCCCTGAGGATCCCTAGGTGTCCCTAGGGATTCCCAGGGGCCCCCAAAGAGTCCGAAGGATTCCTATGGACCCCCCAGAAACCTCAAGGATTCCGCAGGGTTCGGATGAATGCCCAAGGACGGTTCAAGATTCCGACTCATTGTTAGAAAGGTTTGGAAGGATGCCTAAGGATTCCGACTGGTGCCCAAGAATTCCTTGAGATTTCTACAACTTCTAGAAAGGATTCCTGAGGATCCCTGCGGATTACTAGGAGATCCCTCAAGACCCTAAGAGACTCCTAAACAATGCACAGGGACCCTCGAAATCACTAAGGATTCCCAAGGATTCCCGAGGGAGCCCGAAGGCTCCCTAAAGAGCCCCTCGGGAACCTCGAGTGGTGGTCACGAACGAGTCGTAATGACAGGAGCAAGTACTAAGGAGAGAATAATAGGAGCAAGTTAGTAGGTCGTAAGTGGGAATTAGTAGGGAGTGATCGTGAGTGGAAGTAGCTGCAATAGTAATAATAATAAGTGTTTCGCCGTCGCAGTAGTAGTAGCAGTAGTAGTAGTACTCGTGACAGTAGCAGCAGTCGCCGTAGCATATGTAGTCGCAGTAGTAGTAGTAAGTACTAACTAGAGTAGTACACACTGCAAAGCAAGTCGTAAGTAGTAAATAATAGTACTCGGGGGAGTAGTAGTAGTCGCACTAGTAGTAGTGGTAGTAACAATAACAGGTTCAGTAGCCGTAGTCGTCGACATCGTGGTAGTTGTACTAATACGAGTAATAGTAGAAGTAGACGTAGAAGCAACAGCAACATCAATAGTTGTAGTAGTAGTAGTAGTAGTAGTAGTAGTAGTAGTGGTAGTAGTAGTAGTAGTCGTCGTCATGGCGGCAGCAGTAGTACGAGTCGTAGTGGTAGTAGTTGTAGCCCTAGTAGTAATCGCCTTTGAAGTAGTAGTAATAGTCGCAGCAACACTCGTAAACGTATCAGTAGTAGTAGTAGTAGTCGGAGGAGGAGGAAACGAGGAAGAGGAGGAAGAGTATCAGAAGGAGCCGAAGTAGACGGAAAATGCTAGTAGTATGAGTCGTCCTAGCGGTAGTAGTCGTAATAGTAGTAGTAGTAGTAGTAGTAGTAGTAATAGTAGTAGTAGTAGTAGTAGTAATAAAAGAATGCACGTACTACGTAGTAGACGAAACGTCGTAAGTCGTAAGTAGTAAGAGTCGGGGAAGCATCAGTAATCGGAATAGTAATAGTAGTGCCGAGTGCAGTCGTAATAGTAGTAGCCGTCGTAGTCGTAGTACTGAACCAAAAACAAGTAAAAATAAAACATAAAAGTTGATGTAATAGTAGCATCAGTAGCAGTAGTAGCCACAATCACCGCAGTAGTAGCACGGGCTGTACTAGTAGTAATAGTAGTCGCCGTCGTTGCCGTAGTAGTAATAGTAGCAGCAGCCACTGTAATAGTAGTAGTCGCAGAAACAATCGGAATCGTATCAGTAGTACTACCAACCGTCGTATGACTAGTAGTAAACGTAAGAGAAGTCGTATCAATAGGAGTCGGAGTAGCAGGAACAAGTACCAAGTGGTAAGCCGTACTTACTTAATGGTATGTTGAAAATAAGAACTCGCAAACAATGAGTCGTCAGTGGTAGTAGTAGTGGTAGTCGTAGTAGTAGCCGTAGTTGTAGAAGTAGGAATCGCAGTAGGAATAGTAATAGTAGCCGTCGTCGTCGTAGTGATAGTACTAGTAACAGTAGTAGTAGTAGTCGTAGTACTAGTACTAGTAGTAGTAGTAGTAGCAGCAGTAGTAGTAGTAGTAGTGGTAGTAGAAGTAGCAGTAGTAGTAGTAGTAGTAGTACTAGTAGTAGTAGTAGTAGTAGTAGTAGTAGTAGTAGTAGTAGTAGTAGTATTGTAGCAGTAGTAGTAGTAGTAGTCGTCGTCGTCGTCGTCGTCGTCGTCGTCGTCGTCGTCGTCGTCGTAGCCGGAGTAGTAGTAGTAGTAGTAGCAGCAGTAGTAGTAGTAGTAAAAGTAGTGGTAGCAAGGAGCCAAAGGTAAGTAAGACGTAGTACGTAGTATGTAGTAAGTTGTGAATAGTACATAGTAGTAGTCGGGGGAATAATCATTGTCGTAGTGGTAGTCGTAGTAACAGGTGCCGTAATAGTAGTCGTCGTAGTCGTAGTAGTGGTACTAATGCACGTGGTAGTGGAAGTATAATAAGACGTAGTAGTAGTAGTAGTAGTAGTAGTAGTAGTAGTAGTAGTAGTGGTAGCAGTAGCATCCGTAGAAGTAGAAGCTCTCAGAAGCTCTCAGAAGCTCTCAGAATCTCTCGGGATCTCTCAGAATCTCGCAGACATAATCTTCCAGAATCTCCCAGAATCTTTCAAAACCTCTCAGAGGCTCTCAGATGCCCAGAGGATTCCCCTGGAGCGGTTGGGATCTCACCCGTCCCAGCTGTTTTTGGCGGTTGTGATCTGACCCGTTCCGTTGGGATCTCACCCGACCAGTTGTGATAAATCTGGCACTTCCTCTACCCCCTCCCCTGGACCTGGACGGGGCCGGTCGCGAGGTGTCAGGGCGTCCAAAACGGCCGCGGCGAGGAAGCCAAAATCATTGGTTTTACTAATGTTTTCGCCCCATGTTGGCCTCTTGGGGGGGCACTGCTAATTAAAGCTCCCCTCTTGTTTGATCGATGTCCTCCAAGATGGCCCCCAGAGCGCTCCCAAGGTTCCCAAGAGCGCTTCAAGAGGGCCCCTAGAGGCGCCCAGGAGGGCCCAAGAGGCGCCCGAGAGGCCTCCAAGAGGCTCCCAAGAGACCCCCAACAGTCCCTAAGAAGCTCGCCGAGGCACCAAAGACGCTCGGCCTCCGGGACCGCCAAGAGTCCCCCAAAACGCTCCAAGAGGCCTCCACTGAGGGCGCTTCCTCTGCGTGCTTCCCACTTCCCTGATCGAGGCAACTCCTCTGGGCATCGTTTCTGGATGGGCTGGTGGGGTTCCGCGAAGCGTCTAGAATTTCAAAGATGAGAAGCAGGTCCCCTTCGAAATGTGGTGTTCGCCTTAGCGACGCGCGCATCCGGTTAACAGTTTGAAGCACTTACAATGATTCGTAAGGTAAACTTAGGGGGAATGATGCTTAAGGAACGATTGAGGACTCTTAGCACGCAAAATCACGTTCAGTCGTGGTGCTGAAGTCTCAGCCATTGCGCCCTGGCACGGTTTGGGATTGGTCACGTTGATTCGCGGTGTCCAAATCCCACGAATTGTTTTGGAACGAGGGTGATTCTCAGACCGTTGTCTTTCAGTGGGACACTTCCCGCAATGAACATACAGTCATGCAGGGAACTATGAGGAGAACACCAGGAGGGAAGGCTTGTGGCAGAATCCTTGATGCGTCCTGGATTTACACTGGCCCTCCTCCTACACCCGCTCCTGCTCCTGCTCCCCCTCCTCCTCGAGCCAGCACTGGGCGTTGCCTGAATGGAGGGGGGATACACGATAGGAACCGAACTTTATACACCGATGCGTTTTTTCGTTCCCGCACTGATATTCGTACAAGACATCGGATGATGGTGTATACGGCATCCTGATGTATGCATGTTTGTTGCTTCCACGGGAAAACAGGGAAACAAGTATGCGCCACACCACCCCGACGTCGTCCCCGACCCTCAAAACTTCCTGGGATTTAGCAACAGCCCGCCACTGGTAATGTATATGCTCCAGTTTCCGAACATTCGGCGGTGGACAAACCTCCCCTTAGTAAACCTCCCCTTAGTGCAAACGGCCTGGGACCAAAACCGACGGACCTGGAACCGCAGAAATGACGACGGCCGCGACGCCCTCTCGCGAACCGAAAACGGCCAACTCCTCAATCGGCGTGCCAGGGTAGGAGGTCTGTCCACCCCCGAAACTCGGGTCGGGCGAAAGGGGGGGATAGCAAAGGGGGGGGGTGAGAATCAGCTTACGTAGCTGATTTTCCCGGCGCCTCCCGGCGCCAGAGGCGGCTATGTATCGAGGAATGTGCCCGGCGGCGGGGCCGAAACCAGCTGCATGCAGCAGACTTCGTAACCCCCCCTTTCCCAATCCCCCCCTTTCGTCCAGCCAGAGAAACATTAGGGGGGGGTCGGCGAAACGTGCACCTGTCGTGCCCCCTCGACTCCCAGGGGGCCCCTGAAGAGCCCTCTTTAAGGGGAAGCTCCCCCCGCCCAACCACGCATCGGCCCCCCCCCCTACAGAGGCCACGCCCGACGGCATGCTCGAGGCTGGCCTCTGGGGGAGGAGGAGGGGGAGGAGGAGGAGGAGGAGGAGGAGGAGGAGGAGGAGCAGGAGGAGGGAGGAGGAGAGCAGGATGGAGGAGGAGAGGAGGAGGAGGAGGAGGACAGGAGGAGGGAGGAGGCGGGGAGGAGGAGGGAGGAGGGGGAAGAGTGAAGGAGGAGGAGGAGGAGGAGAGGAGGAGGAGGAGGAGGAGGAGGAGGGAGGAGGAAGAGGTGGAGGAGGAGGAGGAGGACGAGGAGGAGGAGGAGGAGGTCCCAGGGGGGCTGCACGTCCCAGAGCCCGCCCTGGACCGGAGAGAGACTTGACAGAAGCGCCGCCCCTCGGCCCGTGCCTCGGCCGGCGTCGTGCACCGGGGACGAGGACCGAGCTGCTCGCCAATTCCGAATTTTAAGGGGCGGGCGCGTGCGCTGCGCAAAAGCGAGGACGCCCCGCCCGCCGTCGTCCGGAGCACCGAGTGCTCGCCCGACTGCGGGGGAGCAGCCGGACAAAAAGATGCCGGGCCGGCCAAGCGATCCTCCCTCGGATCCTCCTCCCCCTCGTCCTCGTCGTCCTCCTCCTCGTGCTCCTCCGTAGCCATTTTGGTTCAAGGCGCATGTCTCTTCGGAAAAAAACGAAATGGATACGGCTAGCCCGCGGACAGGATTCGATTGTTTCGGTGAGCTCCTGCAGAGCCAGCTGTCGCAGCACGGCGGGCGGAGCCGAGACAGCAAGTTGCAGACTGCCGCGGACATCGTGCCGACGGCCGGGCCCCGGAAGGCAGCGACAGAAGGCAGCCCAGGCTCATGGAGGGGGGGCTCTCATGGCCCCGGCGGCGCTCGCCGTCCTCCTCCTCCTCCTCCTCCGCCTCCTCCTCCTCCTCCTCCTCCTCCTCCTCCTCCTCCTCCTCCTACTCCTCCTCCTCCTCCTCCTCCTCCTCCTCCTCCTCCTCCTCCTCCTCCTCCTCATGGTGGCCAGGGCGGCCGAGCGCGGCGGAGGCAAGCGCTGCCGGACGAGCAACCCTCAGGGGGGCCTGCCGTCCGGCGGGCTGCTCCCTGACGGGCCCCAGTGCGGGGGCGAGAGCACGGAAGGGGGCGCGCCTGCGTGGGCCGGGCTGCGGCGGCGCCGCAGCCTGCAGCCGAGGTGCTCCCGATGGGCGTGTCCGCCAGCATGAGCTGCCCCTGGCATGGACATCAGCGGCGGCAAGCTCTCGGCGCTGATGGCGGTGCTGCGCTTCGGGGCGCCGCCGCTCGCCGCCGTGGGCAGCAGCTCTGCGTTCGCGGGTGTCGCGGAGGCTGGCCGTGACGGGAGCACCTCGCATGCCTGTGCGTGGTCACACCTGCGGGTAGAGGTGTGGCTATTGCTGGACGGGTTCGGCGGCTTGGGCGAGCACGGCTTGACGATCAGGAAGGTCCCTGCTCACCAGTCTCGCCGCCAGGTCGCCGACGGCAGGGGCATCTACCCTGACTGGCACGGCAACAAGCTGGCCGACCAGGCGGCCAACAGTGCTGCGGCCCATGCTCGACAGCCTCCTGCAGATCGACAGCGGCTGGTGGCTTCGCACAAGGTGGTCTCGTTGCTGCCGTCGGCGGCGTTGACCCCACTCATGGCGTGGCCAAGCCCAACAAGCCCACCCCAAGAAAGCTCTTGCGCCCGCTGTGGCGAAGCTGGAGTGCGAGCCGGGGGGCGCCGAGGGCCAGATCTGGCGCTCCAGGCGCGGATGGACCGAGCGGAAGGGCGAGCGCCCAGGCCCCGTCCGGGCAGCTGCCCTGGACCCCCACGAGGCGCTGCTGGAAGCGGGGCTGGCCGCGCACCACCTCGTGCTGGTGCGGCCGATGCGCGGCGCGACCACGACCAAGGAGCTGGCCGGTGTCGCCTGCCTCGCCTGCAGGGCCATACAGTCGGGGCGTTGACCTAAGGACCCCTGAATAAGGAACGAGACCCCTTTTGTCCACAAGTTAAACTTCGATTCCTCATTGGAAGCCGAAGAGAAAAACCTAACGCGAATTGCAAAATAACTGCGGAACGCTGAGCCCCTCCCATACGAAAAGGGTTCCCTCTTCAGCGCCCCGCCAGGCATCGCTCGGACGTCCAGTTCCCGTGCACTTTTCGGTTTCGTGCGTGTTTTTTTTGTTCGATGGTCCGGGATGGTCTTCGATGGTACTGGCCGAGAAAAAAATGCACACGTCCGAGCGATGCCAAGACACCCCGCGGGAGGTGCAGCAGCCCCGGGGGCAAGGGCCCTGGGCACTCCCGCTGGAGGTGCGGGGTCCCGGAGGCCCGCGCGCGCGCCGTCGGCGCAGGCGGTCGGAGGGCGTCGACGCGCGCCTGCCGCATCTCGCGCAGCCTCCCCTGTGCTCCCGCTCGGCAGCGGCTTCTACGAGCCCAGCGTGCGGGAGACACGGAGGCGAAGGTCCATCCAGGAGGCGCTGGTGCAGAAGCGTGTGTTCATCCCGCTGCAAGAGCACGCCGATGAGCTGAAGACCCCGTGGCAGCACGTCTTCGAGACCATCCTCGACTACATGCGAGACCCGCTGGGCCTGACAGAGCACCGAGACTACATCAGGTACTCGCCGAGCGTGGCCGAAACCAAGACAGAGGAGGAGAAACAGAGCGAGCTGAAGGGTGCGACCAAGGCATGGATGGCCTGGGTCAAGAGCCACAGCGAGAAGTCGCCAGTCAATCGCGCGGCACCCGTTGGCACCCGAGAAGGAGTCGAGCGGTACTACGCTCGAAACGTTGAGGGACCCACCGACGGCAACCAACACGGCGCTGCAAGCATGGCAAGACAGATGGTACGGGGAGTTCGACTGGACAGCACCGCAGTTCGAGCAGCCAGCAATGGACGATCCCATGCTGGTTCCGATCGTGGGCCACCACGTCCAACACTCCTGAAAGGCTTTCCCAGCTAAGGCGTAATTGGGAGAGTCGCACATCCATCCGAGGCTACGGCAAAAGGGCGACTAGCCAGCATCCTCAACTGGGCCCGCAATGGGCCCGCAGTGGGCCTTGCACGACGAGCGCGGGGCAAGCTGGCCCATCTCCCGGCAGTGCATCGCGTTCCCGCTGCAGCCCAAGCCCAAGGGTGGGTTAAAGAATTTGGGAATACTTCCAAAGTTGGTGCGAGTGTTAGAAGAGATTCGGCGCCCAGAGACCCAACGATGGCAACGACTGTTTGGGCAGTCAACGGAAGATCCGCTGAGAGGGCGGCTTGG